TTTTCTGAGCAACCTAAGACTTAATAAACCCCCCCCTTTTTTTTTTGTATTTTATTACTTCAGCGGGGAAAAGGTATTAATTAAAAGTACCATGATACAGAAAACTGCTTTTTGGCTCTGCTTACAACCTGGTTTATTCTTCTTGCAAACAATCAGTCCCACTTAATTAGCGGAGCATATAGTACTTACAATACTCGCTACAATCTAGCATTCCCAGGCCTCATAGCTTTATGTCTGTGAAACACTCGCATATTATGGTTTCACCTCATGGTATAGAATCTCTCTATTCAAGTTTATACATGACATGGAAAGTCTGAGATTTACTCTGAGGTGTAAAGTTAGTCTAATTCCAGTGGAATGAAAGAGATGTGCCAATTTATATCAAGTGAAGCTATGGCCCAGGATGTCTCAAAGACATTTGCTTTTGTCTAGCAAACAAGCAAACAAAGTTCTTCATTTTAATGAAAAATAATGACTGTGTCTGTCTTTGCTAATGTATAGAAGTAGATCAAAGATGGCACAATCTCTGTTTGCAAGGCAGTATTTCACTAACAGATAATTAATATGATAGTATCAGGGAAATTAAAATCTATTCTGGGCCTAGGTGCTTCCCCTCGCGGACTGTAAAACTACTTGGTTTATCATTTACTGTCTTTAGGCAAAAAGGTTACTGTTATTTGCATGTTCGTCAGTTTGTGCTTGAGAGTAAGAGGTTTACTTAAAAACAAGCCCAGCAAGCTAAATGAAATGCCAATGGTCTTATTATCCTGAGAGAGCAAAGCACTTAAGCCCATGATTAAAATGAAGTTAATTGAATTTAAGCATGCGCTTAAAGTAAAGCATAGCCATAAATGCTCTGCTGAACCAAAAGGAGATTGTTCTCACGCTTAAAGGTAAGCACATGCTTCGGTATTTTGCTAAAACTGAGGCCGGTAGCCTTCTATCAACAGTTCCAACTATGCCACTAATAAAAACTCGCACCAAAGTCAAGGCTTTTCTAATCAAGTTGTTTCACAGAAGGAAGATCAAGGTGCTGCTTATACAATAAATTGGCAGAGTAGATTCGCAACAAGAACACGAATGTTAAAATGTGGGTGTGATGAGTTATGTAAAAGAAAGGCAGGAAAGAGCTTATTTCAAGTTGAATTGTGTGGCTTTCTCAGAAACACATCCTTGGTAATCTAGAATGAAAACACCTACTTTTCCTACCAAAAAAAAAAAAAAAGTCAGCATCTGGTATGTAGTCAGAACTTCAGTGTAATTACGACTGCTTTGTTTTTAAACTCGAGAACCTCTGTCCGCACCATCAGGCTACTGTTTGGAATTCAGAATTGGGGGTGGAATAAGCAATTTCAGATTCCGAAATTGCCACTGATACATCTGACTGATTTTGGACACATGGCCTTTTCTAGCTGAACTTAATTTTCTTGGCACTTAAAATAGGAATGATAATGCCTTTTTCTTAAACTGTGTAATAAATAAGTATTATGCAGTGTTTTACTGTCCCTTTGAGCTGGACCAAAGAAACTCGGACAAAATTCTGTCCCATTGGAATCTATAAATTTGTAAAAAAATACCTTGTGAAATAACATTGGTTTTACTAGAAGTTTAGGGAAGGAGGAAAATGGAAAAATGGACAAGTCCAGCTGTAATGTCCCATTTCACCACTGTCAAAACAGAAGTTTTAGAAATGACTTATCAATTAGATGTCCTTATATGTGTTACAGTTTTAACAATAAAAATAGCTTTTTTTTTTGGTCAAAACAAAACTTTTCCATTGCCAAATGACCTCCTTCCCTGCTACTATTTTCCCTTCACAGAAAATAGAAAAAAGCAATGCTTTATTCCTGTTTGGAGTGAAGCTGGGTTCCCCAGTCATAAGTAGAACTTTCCCTTTATTGTGTGGCTGTGCTCTCACTCGAAGAGAGGAAGACCAGGTGCACGTTTCAAAGCGTAGTGTTCTTCATTGTACATAATGATACCAAATTGTGGAGGAAAAAATATTATATGGTTAGTTCTATTAATATCTGCATTGGGATATAACCTTTGCATAGCTGAGCTCCAACATACTGAAGCTTCACTAAACTGAAGCTTCTATTTAAATTACCTTTAATGTGGAGTTCTTAATAATGGTCTCTTAATGTAGATTAGAGTAATTAATGCATTTTTGAGTTACGCCGTGAAAACTCATTATTGACTTTTGGAAGTTTTGCTCCTGAAATATACCGAGAAAGCAAGAAAGCTAGAGTAAGCAAAAACTATTTCAGAGTTGCCATGACCACGAACAGTTTTATTCCTATTAACAGATGGGTTTATATGTGTAATTTAAAAACACATAGCAATATTTGTAGAATAGTGGAGAGGTAGAACTGGAGTTACACACAATTTGAACAAAAAACAGGTCAGAATGTGTGATATTTTAGACAATAACATATGACTGCAGTAAGATGTTAGCTAGAGGATGAAATGCAGTTATCAAAAGAGTATATGAAGAGCGTAAGTATGACCATACAGGGACAGATGAAAGGTTTGTCTAGCTCAGTATCCTGTCCAGCAGCCATCAACCGTGGATGCCCAGAGGAAAAATATGAGTACAGGGAAAACAATAATTTCACAGAATACTCTCATAGCAGTTTGCAATTTAGGGACTTCCAGAGCCAGAGGTTGGTGTCTTTGTATTTAGTGGCCTTTAATTGATTTTTCTTTCATGAATTTGCCTTGTCACCATTTCTGGGTTTTGAACTCATGCAAACTTTTAGAACTCATCATGTTCTGTGGCTGAGATCTGCACCCTTATTACACTTGGTGTGGAGAACAACCTCGTTTGGCTTCTGAAAAGCCTGCAGCTAAGTTTCTTTTCACCTTCTCCAGAACTGGGAAGGAGACTAAATATTCTCTTACCCTCTCTGTTCCACTTTTGCTTTATAAAGATGTCTATGGTATCCCTTCTCTGTTGGTTCTTTTGCAGACTGAACAGACTATTTACAAGACATTCCTTGTACGGGATCCATTCAATGCTTTGGATCACTTTTTTGCCATTGTCCATACCTCTGCTAGTTTTAGCACTTCTATTTGAAATGGAGGACCAGTACTTTGCGTGGAATTGGAGATGCAGGTGCACTATGAATTCATAGTGTCATAATGATGTTCTTTTTTTTTATTTGCTATTTCTTTCCTAGTAATTCCTGGCATTCAATGCACTTACTGGCTATCGAAAATGCACTCAGTGCTTGCATAGGACGATTATAAAATCTTGTTCCTGAGTAATAATAGATTAGAACACATCACCTTGGATGTGACTGTAGTCCCATGTGAATAACTTTACATTGATATTTACACTGAATTTCATCTTCCATTTTGTTTCCCGCTCAGTATGGTGAACTCCTTCTTCAGTTCTTCATATTCATGTCATCTTTACTATCCTAGACAACTCAGTTATACACAGATTTTGTCAGCTTGGCATTTACTCCCTTCTCCAGATCGCTCAGGAGTACGTTGAGCAGCACCAACACGAGCATGCCTGCCTGTGAAATTCCACTTCCCTCTGCTGTGAAAACCAGTTACTGTTACTCTTTGCTTTTCTTCTTTTGACATATTCTTAGGAGAGCATCACCTCCTTTCCCTGGCAGATTAACTTCCCTGAGAAAGGTGGGAGACACTGTCACCAGTCTTTCAGAAGACCAAGTAGAATACATCAGCGAGAATGTATCTTCCTTACATGTCGGATGAATCCTTCAACGAAACCCAATAGTGATCTGTTAAGTCTGACTTTTTTTTTCACGAGCCGTGCCGATCCTTCTCCATCGTGCACGTTATGAGGGATGTCAGAACCTTGCTTTTTACCGTCGGCTCCACTACAGCTACATAATTGGAGATCTGGAAAGGGAACTCTAGTTTAAAATGGGAGGGAGAAACAAGGTTTCTTAAGAACAAGAGTTTGAGAGAGTTAAGCCAATCATTTAGCGCCTGCCATCTTCATGAAGATGAATGGCTAATCATTGGTCATAATCATTATTTTCATAATGAATAGTTTGATTCTGCAAGCACCTAATTGCATAAATTTTATTTTCTGTTCCAAGTGTTTCTTCTAGGGTGTGTAGCTGTCAGATTGTTCCTATTAACTGGACTTTGAAACCTCTGTGAGCTCTGTCGTCAACAAGAATAACCAGCTACTATTGTGTTTAGCTCAGTATATTCACAGAGAGAATAAGCTGTCTTTTACAGATATCTAGTCTGATTTTTAAATGTTATTCTTTTTTGGCCATTCTTTGTGCCATTTGTGCACAGAGTGGTAAGGTACAAATTTAGAAGGCCTGGTATGAAGATCATTCATCCTTTCTGATTGTATTTTTTATATGAACAGTGCCAGTATCCATATTTAAATTGGACCATTTTGAGGTGTGTGTATGTGCATACATATACCATCTGAGCACATTAAATGTATGTATACATTTATTTGTCTTTTTACATATTATACACACACACACACACACACACACACACATGCATATATATTCATTTCATGCCTTCAGACTGTAAAAATCTTTGTAATCTTTTTGTGCAGAGAGATCTAATACACAAGAGTCGATACGTTGTGATGGTGGTTGTTCCCATTTTGCAAACAAGAAGAGATACACTAGATAAATTATTCACTGAAAAGGAATGGGTGAGTTCGGGTAAAGGTATGATTTATACCGGTAAAGTGCTTTTTATATGGCTTGTATGAAAGACATAGTATAAAAGATGGCTGCATTGCATTGGATTTAAGAGCGTTATTTCAGGATGAAGGAAGGAAACAAAAATAGACTTGACACACAAGTATTCCAGAAAGTTTCTAAAGTGGGAATTTGAATTCTCTTTCTGCGGCGCGCACACACACAGAGATCTCTCTCAGCTCGCCTGCTTCGGCTTTTTTTTTTTTGCTGTATTTGTTATCTGATACCTCGGTTCTCCCAACAGGCAGGGGGATACTTTGCTCCGGGCTCCACCCCTAGCCTCTCTGTCGCCAGTATGAGAGAAAAAGAGAGAGAAATAGAAATCACTTGGAGGGGAACTAGAGAAAAAATAAAGGGTCCCGAAAATGGAGCTGCAGTAATTTTCTGGAAGGTAAAGATGTGTTCATTTGTTATTGTTTTTCTACGATAGCATGCCTGCCGCTTACTTTGCTAAGCTTTGACGTACGTTTCGGGGCAGAGGGAAAGCGATTTGCTGAGATGGCGTCACTTTATAAAAAGTTTGCAGATTTTACTGAGTTTTTTTGTTTGTTTTCTTTTGTTTATGGGGAGTTTGTGCTATTAATATAGCTGGAAAATGTGGCTGAGATCTAAATATAAGCCTGTGAAAACAGAATCCCTGAGCTAGTGACACTGATGGCAGATACTATTGTTAACTTTTGTGATTCCAATTAAGTCCTGAAATGTTAAGGATTTTTTAATAACTGTTCAGACAGCAGGCATTCGGTACAACTACACTGGTGCACTTGGAATAAGGCAGGTTAGGGAGAGAGTTTTTCACTCACCCCTTCCACATCTAAATAGATAAAGACAAACAAGGAATTTGTGCTGAAGTACAGACTGATATGAACATTAAAGAACAACACTTTCAGCTTTAAGAGTTCTCTCTCAGTTGGGTAAGCAAGCCACGGAGCGTGTATTACTCCATATGTTTAGCTCGCTCTCAACATAACATTCCAAAGTAGAAAACGTGTTACAAAGTAATACCTGCTTAATGACAGCTGAAGGAATAGGCGTGTTCTCCAAAGTATCTAAAATTGCCTTGAGAATCCTAAATGTCATTCCCAAGATGTGGTGAACTGTAATTAGGGCTGTGAACTATTTTAGTGACAGTGCCTCACATGGGGCCCATCTAAACAGAGCAAAAAGTCTGGGAACTTTTAACTTGTCCTTGACTATGTCAAATACGAAAGCGGTTTAGACAATAACAGCAATCCCAATTGATTTCAGATTTGCAAAAATGTAACCAAAATTGACAATGTTGTCTCCTTTTTCATTTCCCCACTTGTATTTCTTTTCAAAACCCATGTAACAGAGCAATGCTTAAAGAGTGAGAGCAAGCCCATCAGCAGTATCCCAGTGAATGAAAAGAAATATCATTTTTGATTATTTTCATGAGAAATAACTCAAAAATTATTTAGTGATTTTCTCATCTTATTCTCTTCTCCCGCAAGGGTTTGAATTCTCTTTTAGCAAATGATCCAATTCCATGGCGACGTAACAAAAAACAAAGAAAGGAGGAAAAAAAAAAAGACTTCCGTGAAGCATATCTTTAGTGTGAACAGAAGCAATTAGCTTGCAACATGCTGTCCAAAAACTGCATGTGCAAAATTGTGCCCAAAAGCAGTTTCATTTTACTGTAGACATTGTGCTTGTATATGCAGATCTTGATACTATAGAGGAAATATATTTAACTCAATTATTTGGTTATTAGGGTGGCAAAAAAACTTGTGTCCCTAAGCGTGGCATGAAGTTTACATACAAGCTGTAAAGGCCTAGTATCATATAACTTAGGGACTTTGGTAGAAACACACTCAGAAGGACAAAGTCAGGTCCTGTCAGCTCTTATATGAGAAAGCTTTAATACTCGATGTATTGCCATCACTAACTGTTTCATGTTGTGCAATCCTCAGGTGCTAAAATGCTATTAGATTGTTGTCTTGTGAATAATTGTGAGTATAAGGCTATCTGCTAAAATCTGATTTGTTACTCACACACTACATTCATCTGCCATGTCTTCTGTCAAGAAGCAGATAAACTCAGTGTCCTTTCCATTGGTCTAAGCCAAAAGTATCTGCATAATGAAAGGAAAGAGATTTTAGCTATAAGTATTGTTCAGAGATATGTAATGGGATGAATTTTCTTTACTGTATTAATTGCTGTAACAAATCACTAGTATTTCTCTTTTTTCTTTCCTTCCATTTCTTTCCAAAGGAAATGCTGTAGGATGTGTTTATTGCTTCATTTATAAGATTAAAACACTGATTTTCCCCCTTCTGTATATCCATTTTAGAGTATTTCTGTTTATTGCTTTCAGGTTTCTCCACAGAGTAGGTGTAACTGGGAGAAGAATTTGGCCCATTATGTGAGCTAAATTTTCAGTGCTTCCACTATTTAGAGCTCCGCTGTGCTAAAAATAGTTTTCCTGTGGTTTTGGCCATGGAGTGACAAATACAAGTTTTCAGTGCGTACTTATTGTGGATGTTAGTCCTAACTCTATGGCTACAAGAAATGGAATTCCAACTCATGACCGTGTCAACAGATGATTATGTTGAATGTGAGGCTGCATGTTAGATCTTCTTACTGTCCCAAACAGAGAATGTGTCCCACCCAAATGCCGATCACCTTCAAAATAGAGCATGCTCATAAGGAGGCACTTGGGCTTGGGGACGAAGAGCCTTGGGAGATCGACAGTCTGTGCAGGCAATAACTTTGAAGGCTGTGCACAGGAGGCTCCCAGTCTTGTGGGCTCTTGGGGAAAGGCTCTTGGCTTGCCTTTCCCTCCTCTGATCTGCAAACAATGTAGAATATCGAACAAGCGGTGGGGAAGTGAGTAAATCCTTAAAAAAGAAAATAAAACACAATTTTGTTCAAGGCTAATTTTGAGCAGAGTTCACATAAAAGAAAAAACTCCTAATGATCACATGGTAACGATAAGTGGGAGGATGTTAACTGTGATGTTAGACTGATTCTCTTCCTGTATGACCTTTTCTATCCCATCTCTTTTACAATGCAGCTTACCTGTTGTCTACAGGGTTTTGCTCTGATTGTTCCCAACAGCTTTTAGGAGGCAGGGGCTATTTTCGTCTGAGCTTAGCATTCGGTGTCACTCCCCAGAAAGTGTTCTTAGAATGTAAGGTCATGTTATGGGACTAGCTGAAAATCACTGATTTAGAAGAATGGAAGTGAGAGTACTACATGTTTCTGTACTACTGAAGCGATGGTGCCTGCAAGCTGGAGGATGCTCTGGAAAAATAGCAACGTTGGTGGAATATTCAAAGGAATTCTGTGTTATTTTTGGTTTTCTTTTTTAGTGTTTCCTCTGTGAGAACAGTGTATTATTTTGTATTAATCCACTGGGACATTTTTTCCATTCCTCCAGGAAGGTCTCCATCCCTCCTATACCTCCTCTGATATTGCTCTGATCAGAATCTTTTCACAGGTTTTAATGAAAGAGGGTTTACACTCTGATATGGACTTTGCAACAGTTTTCAGGTTCTCAGAAAAATAATTCCCTTATTTATTATATATCGGAATTTTCCTATAGCATCCTTCTCCCTTCCTAGGATTTTGATTTTTTTGTCTGTGCATTAGACATTAGCGTCTTTTGTAATCTGTCAAATGGGACATACCATCTCTAATATATTAATTTTTTTTATTCTATAGAGTGTGAAAAGATAGGGTTGAGTTGAACTGGTAAAACCTTTACATAATGTCTTTGTTTACAAGATCTTCATAGATTATATCAGTATTTAGTTACCTGTTTGACCTCATTTATTCTTGCAGCCTATTAAGAAAAGTTTGCAGCTTTAAACTTATTTGGAAGTATTCCTTTGGCTTGCCTTTCCCTCCTCTGATTTGCAATTTCATTTTAACGTCTTATATCTGTAGCTTCAGGACATGAGTATTCTTCCCCCTCTTCTGTACTGCTATGTGAGCTGTGAGTAATATAAGATATCCAGAAGTGTGGCTACAAAAATAATAGGGTATATTATTTATTCTCCTAGAATTCAAAGGCTGTGAGCCAGAGAGTGTATCATCGTAGTAGACCACATGACCAGGAACCTTGTAGATAAACACTTTAATATATTTCCTCCAGACACTAAACAATCTTTTTCATTCGGATTTAACTGTCTTACATGTGTGATGTGGTGTACATAATACACTTGTATTGCTTTCTTGTTGTGAGGCAGCCACTTATCATCTATTGTGCTTGTTCTCATCATGCTGTAAATTGCGGGGTTATTTAAGAAGACCAAACGGCCAGAATGAATGCCACCTCTTTTTCCACTTGCTGAACTCTACTCAAAAGTAACATTGTTTTTCTGCCTCAAAAATACATGTAAAGGTATGTATAGTATGTTAGCCCCTCCTTAGCCTTTCCCACCCTGAAACTTTTCAAATAGGGATGGCATGTTCCTCTTCTCACTGCCAAAAAAAAAAAAAAAAAAATCCTTTCTCAGCGTTTCCCCCTTCCCCCATTTCTTCTCAGCTAACAGCTGTGAAAGTGTAACTTTCATGAGATATCCTATACATTTCCCCCAATTCTGTTTTTAAGCTGGATTTGGTTTAAATATGCAAGCCATCTCCCACACTACAGGAATTTTTTAAACATGCTTGTAAAGTGGCTTTGCAAGTGTTTAATGTGGGTACAAACATGGTAACTGTTTTTATTCTATTTTTTAAAAAAAATTTTCCCCTTACCAGCAATTTAGAAAGTTGATAGGGAATTCAGGTGAACAGTACGGTCTTTTTAGAAGTCACAGGAAGGCCAAAGTTTCATAATAAAGCAACTTTTTTCAAGACTATTTCCTTATAATTCAAACAATCTATTTAATTTTCAAACTATTCATTTCCAGCTAAACAAAAATCTCATTAAGAAATGCAGGGATCATATTCAAAATCTGGAGAGAAAATCAAAATAGTATAATGTGAGATATGTATATTGCTTGTCAACCATTTAAGGCCTGATCCAAAACAGTGGTAATTTTTCTGTTGATTGCTCTGTACTTTGGTTAGACTGTACGGTTCTAGCTATCTCCAACATAAAGTAAACTTCAGCAATAGCATAGGTTTATGAGAAGACGGTTTTCTTTCTTCACTGCCGTAACACTGTGTGCAGAGGAATCCGAGATAGGTAGTTGTGCTCTAGTTGACTTTTCAAGGCAGGACCAAATGTATAAACAGATGTGCATTGACTCTGCAGAATCGGAACACACAATACTTAAAATATTCAGGTAACTGGAAGGTTTTCTATTTATTTTTCTTTAGATAATCACAGTTGCATGCCTACATTTTGAAAAATCTAGGCCTGTTTGTAAAAGAGGATTGATTTCTGTTCACTATGCTCAGGATGACTTGAGTCTACTGGTT